CATTCTAGCTCCCAAAGGCTAAAAATTTCATTAATCTTTTTTTTAAAAAAATTTTTTTTTTTTTAACAAAAAAAAAAAAAAAAAAAAGAAGAAGACCGTTGACCTTTCAAAATCTTCATATCAATCTGTATAGTGTTCATGTTTTTATTTGGATTTGGTTTTTGGTTTTTTTTTCTTTTGCACACAAATAAACATTACCGAAATACAAGCGAAAGTTTACGTTTATAAATCATAAATGTTTGTTTGTTTTTTCAGTTACCGGTCATTTTTTTCTCACTTGATTATGAACTTTTGTGATTCGGTTTTTTTGTTCAACAAAAAAAAATCAAAAAAATCTGGAAAGAATGAATGAATGATGATAATAATATGGTAATGTTTTTTCTTCTTTTATCCATCTGAATATTGCTCACACACGCAATCCAAAATGGTCAATTTATCTAACCGTTTTGTCTAAAATCGTTCGGTAATTCATAATGATAATTTTTTTGGTTGAAAATATATCATTTGCATCCAAAAAAATGTTGAATTCATTTGATGATCGTCGATAGTTATAGTTGATGAGCAATTTTGATTGTTGTTTATGAACACAACTACAAAAAAATCAAATAACCACATACTATAACAGGTAACAGGTATTATATATGTTGTTGACCATTTGCACTATCACACTAACACATACATACACCTGCTTGTATGTATGTACAAGTTGAATGTACAGATCAGAACGGTAATCTTTTGTTGTTGTATACATTCAAGGATGATTATCATCACTATGAACATATGTGAACGACCAGTTTTTTTTTCTTCATTTTGATTTGTGAACATTTTGTTTAGCAAAAATGATTCTCTCTTTCTCTCTGATTTTTTTTCTTCTTATTTATTCAGAGAGGAAAACTTGTTTGTAACTTTAAGTATGAAAAGCAAAAAGAAAAAAATGGTAGTGACAACCAACATTCAGTAAGAATTCAATTTCTTATTTTCAAGAAGCCGAAGAAAAAAAAAATTCAGAACAGAATGATTGAAACGATGACAACGATTAATCTCGTTTTTTTTTCTTCTTCTCAAAGATTGAATTCATTGAGAATAAGAAAAAATTGATTTTTATTTTCTTCTTCATGTATTTGTTGATTGTGGTTTAGATTTCCTACTGTTTCCTTTTAACCTTCCGTAATAATCAAGTATAATGATGGTAATGATTTAGTTTCATGTTGTCATCCAAAAAAAAAACGAACAGGTTTATATTCGAAATAAATCGGTACGAATGAAAGAAAAATAATAATAATAATAAAGGTCAACGACAACTAAATCAATCTGTTTTGTTAAATAATATGTATTCATAATATAAATTTATAATCATAAATCTGTATTTCTTCTGAAATCTGTCATAGTTTTCACACACAAACACAGACTTGACATATTTGAGCAATCAATAGATGATTGTATTGTGAATCAATTACTTATATTGTCTGGTTTATTTTATTTTGTTTTTTGTTCAAACAAAAACATTCACAACATCCGTAAAAGCAATGGACTTTAAATGGAAATGATCATTTTTTTCCCCTATTAGTTAGCTATATAAACTGATTCCTAGATTAATATTTATTTCCCAAAAAAGGGGGCCTATACATCCTAGTTAAATGATGATGATGATGAGGAAGATATTCGACAATTGTTATTGAATTGAATTAAATAAATGAATGGATTGTTTTTTTGTCGTTGTCGTTGTTGTTGGAACGACATGTTGCGCTTGTGTTTCATGACCTCCATAAGAATGAAAACAACAAAAATGATGATGACAAGTTTTGTTGTATTTGTCGTGATTGGAACAAAATCCAAAACAGAAATAAAAAACTAACGATGATGCCGATCATGGAAACAAATGATGATGGTGAAAAAGAAAATCATCATCATCATTTTTTTTATATTAAAAAATATAAATGTTTCACATCTGTCACCATATATGTTATGCATATATATGATTTCAATTTCAAATTTTGTTGTTGTTGTTGTTTCATTTACGGCCATCACGAATTTCTTTTTTTTCACAGAAATAACATATGCACCAACCAATCAACAATCACAAATCATATGGAAATCCTAAACAACGAAATAAATGAAAAAAAGGTGAAAATTCATTTCTATTATGGCCATTTTTGTTTCAATGTTGATAGCTAATATTATAACACAAAAAACTATAAATGTGATCGTGTCGAATCTTCAATAACAATGAATAGCTTTTTCTCTAGCCTTTTCTATCCAGATATTTTATTTTATTTTTTTGTTCAATTCATGAATGAATTTTTCGTTTAATGTTTTTTAATTTTAAAAATATGGTTCCGTTTTGTCATCATCAATTCAATTCACCCAATAATAATCATTAGCATGGAAACAAACAAACAAACCGTTAGAACAGGATATGCCAATGCCGTTTTGTTTTGAACGAAATAATTGAATTCTAATGACAATCATAATTGACGGTTTTAAACAAACAAACAACCAAACATCATCATTTCATCAAATAAATAACATTTTAATGATGATGATGATGATGATAATGAGAATGAATATAAATCATTAGTGAAAAGCTATTTAATGTTGTTGCTGCTGTGTGATTTTGATTTTTCCTCTAGAAATTCATCAAATTTATCTGGAATCCAAGTCATTGACATTTTGATTTAGTAGTTTTTTTCAAAAAATCTAATGCAAATGTTTAATAAATTAAAATACTAAACGGAAATTAATTACAAACTCTTTTTTTTTTAAATTTAAATTAAAATTTTTTTAAATGAAGGACTTTTGAACATTACCGTGATAATCATCATCATCATATTGATTATGATCAACATTGATACGGTTATCCAGATTGCAGATGTCGATCAAAAGGGCATAATGATCCGAAACTGTAAAGATCTGATATTAAAGATATGAAATTAACAAAAATTATGTGATTTATCTTCCTTGACCATTTCTTACATAAACGGTGATCGTTTGATGGTTTAAAACAACATTTTGTATATGAAAAAAAAAATATTGGAATACATTGACGATCCTTCCGATTTCATTATTTTTTTTCTCCCGTTGTTTTTGAACACAATATTTTTTCATCACTATTCATTAACCAAACATCAGAGGAAAAAAAATCCCGATGTATTTTCTCACATTAATTTTTCCCATGATTGTAAAAACAAAATTTAATGATCATAGTCATTTGCTGATGAATTTTTTTTTGTTTTGAATCTGGAAAATTTTTTGTTGTTGTTGCTTGATTGCATGCATATGACAGTGTTTGTTCACAGAAGAAAAGAAAAACAGCAACAGAATTTGCTTTGTTAATTTTTAGGAAATACGAAAAAAAGACAAACAAAAATTCTTTGCAAATGAAATTTTCATTTCTTGAACATTGGTTGAATGACATTCTTCCCTATAGCTTCAAATTGAATTGTTTTTTTTTTCTCATATATTTTCTATGAATTATTTTTTCAGTTAAAGCTTTTTCTTTTCTGTTGGACATTTTCTTTTCAACGTTTGCATTAAGGATTTAATTCCAGATAAGAAGAAACAACAACAAACAAACAAACAAACAAACAATTAATTAGATAGTTGATGTACAGTTTTTCTTGTTGTTGTTGTTGTTGATGATGATGATTGTAAGCCGATCATCGAATGATATGGATCTTTTTTTCTGGTTTTGATTAGAATTTAATATCTCAAATCAAATAGGTTTTAGTTGTTTTTTTAAGAATTCTGATTCTGGTACGTTAATTTTTTTGTTTTTTCGAAAGAATCATAAAATCCCCCATTCTTTCAGTTTGGATTTGTTTGTTTTGCTTTGTTTTTTTTTTATTTCATTAATCAAAATGGAATAATGAAAGAGAAAAAAATTTATGATTTTTTTTCGAATGAATTTCATTGCCAATCAATCCATATCCATTA